GCCACCATTGTTTCTCATCTCACCAACCTCTCATCTGCCATTGCTACACTTCATTCTTTCTTCCAATACTACTATATAAATAAACTCCCATCATTTTTTAATTTATTTTCTTTATAATTCATTACACAAATAATAATCCCCAGCTTTTAATTTCTTGATTGGTGAAAAAAGACCCATTTTTTAAAAAAAATAATTTCAGAAAGGAATCGATCTATGGGGAGCATTGGGTTAGGGCTGGAAATCACCGAGCTCCGGTTGGGTCTGCCGGGGACCGGCGACAAGAAACGGCCGTTCTCGGAGGCCGACAATGACCGGAACAGTAGCAACAATAACGGAGGAGAGGGACGGCGGGGTAATGACGGTAACGGCAGCAATAAGGCCCGGAACACGAGCCGGGTCGTGGGTTGGCCGCCGGTTTGCTCGTACCGAAGGAAGCAAAACGACGCCGTCGTGGACAGCCAGAAGGCGTACGTGAAGGTCAGCATGGACGGCGCGCCGTTCTTGCGGAAGGTTGACCTCGCCGCTCACGACGGCTACTCCGCCCTCGTCGCGGCCCTCCACCGCCTCTTTCACCTCCCCGGCATCGGTATATTCTTAAACTACCTTCCAAATTTATTCACTCCGTATTTTACTGTAGTAATTTATTACAGAATATTCGTAAATTTACTTTGAATAAGTTAAAATTACTTGTTGTATCTAGACACTAAAATTATTGTTAAAGGAACAATTAGTCCCGAAAAAAAAAATCTACAATTTTTTAATTGTGTTAAAAGATGAAAAAATGTAAGAGTATGAATAGATATGTAATTTGTGAGAAGTATTGTTTACAATCTATGAAAAATGAGTATTTTTTTGGGAGAGAAGGGTATTCTTAGAGTAAATTAATCCAGTGATCTTCAATTACAAATTTGATATTTTGGTTGAGTTGATTTTTTAACGATCGCAAGCTATATTTTTCTCTTAAAATGATGATATTAAATTTATATTACAATTACTCTCATTTTTAAAGAATGTCTTCAAAATGTCAAATAAGTCCTTCAATTCAACAATACTCAAATCACATTATTACCATATCTTACAAAAATGGACAACTAATTACAAAAAAGAAATAAACATAAGAAACTAAACAACTAATTTGGGATACATTGAAGAATTCCAAATATTTTTTAAAATTTAAATTCGGGTTAATAATGGTACTTGACATTTTAATTAATTCTGAAAATGTTAAAAATAATATGCAGGGGAAGAGTTGAAAGATGGAGAGAGCTCAGGAGAGTATGCTCCAATATATGAGGACAAAGATGGTGACTGGATGCTCCTTGGAGATGTTCCATGGGGGTAAATATTATTTATTTATTTTATTTATTTATTTAAAATATATTTTTCTGCAATTGGATACTATAAATATGTGTGTTTTTTAAATATTTTAGGATGTTTATTGAGTCTTGCAAGAGATTAAGGATCATGAAGAAATCAGAAGCAAAGGGATTTGGGCTTGATGCAAAGAATTCCTTCAATGAGGTGTCAAAAGAAGGATGAATAATGATAATATATATCTATTCCACAACTCTTTATAATGAATGTATTTAATTTTAATTATAATTTTAATTCTCATTCATATTTGCTTAATTCTCATTTGCTACAAAAACATAAATGAACTTGTGTGTTGTGATACTCATTCTCTTGCAAATCTACTTTCATCTTTTATTTTTCTTGATCAACGTTTACAAAAATTGATCATAATATGCAGCGAATCGATATACACATTGAGTTGTATGGTGAATCTATTGATTCTATATCATATGTTTTGCTTTGAAATGCCATTTTTTAAATATAGTGCTACCTAAAATTTATTTATATATAAATATAATATTAATGGTCTAGGGTTGCACATATTGTAATCGAGAGCATGAGAGATCATTGGAGTGACAACTAGCAATATGTAACAACAATAATAACAAAGTCTTATCTCAGTAGTTGGTTGGCTACATAGATTAAACGATGTCATTGTGGTTTATCATGCATCATTTCAGCAGTGAGATTATTCACGCGAAGGTCTCCCTTGACCACTTCTTGTTGAGTCGTCTTAGGTATAATTCTTTCTCTAGCCACATATATTTCCATCATTTGATGAATCTTCTCAACGGATGCTCTTCTGGTCTTCTCTCTACATGTCCAAATCACCCAAGAGGAGTTTCCACCATTTTTCTACAATGTATGTCACTCGAATTTTAGCTCTCACAATTTCATTCCTTGTTCTATCTATCCATATGCATATATATGACCGCTCATCCAACGAAGCATCTTGATCTCTGCCACACTAACCTTGTATTCATGTTCACCCTTTGCTGCCTCACACTCTATCTTTCATACAATATAGCTGGTCTGATTGCAGTACGATAAAATTCTCACTTCAGTTTTAATGATACTTTTTGTCAATTCATAAAACCATTTGGTATTATGCACGCCGTTTGAAAACGAGATGATACTTTTTTAAATAATGTCAAACTATACTTTAATAGCTTAAGAGTTGAAAGATACATAGTACCTTTATTCTTAAAAGCAGGGCCGACCCATGGGGGGACGAGCTGCCCAACCGGACTGGATCCAAGATTTATGGGAGCCCAAGTTTTTTGTATATTATATATAGACAATTTTTTATATTCTATAGCCCACATCTTGCTTCTCCTAGCCTTGTTATTTTGGAATTTCACTTGAACAACTAACCTTGTTATTTCCAAATTCGCACGTAAGGTTATATATTTCTGTATTGATTTCAATAAAACTCTTAATTTTTTAGAAAAAGAAAACACAATTATATGCTCCGTAGTATACTTGTTTTATAAAATTTTAAAAATAGTTCAAAAAAATAAAAAAAACCTATTTATTTTTTATCTAAAATAAATATGAATACTTACACCAAAGAACTTATTTTCATTAATAAAAATAAATATTTTTATTTATAATTTAACTTGTCAGGGTTCATGACTCTTTTTTCGATCTTGTGTCGGGCCATATAATTTTCGAGACCAGCTCTACTTAAAAGCAACAATCCACAAAATACTAAAATTGGCACTCTAACCCATTGTTAGGAGGGTGAGAAAGAGTAGGAAAACACACAAAACAAAGCATTTTCTTTATGTTTGTTTTGGAGAGAATAATGGGAGTAAGAAAACTAAGCATGGGCCCCACGTAAAAAAAATTCTCACAAGAATAGTTGAGAAAACTTGAGCTCCTTTTCCCACTACTATTTTTTATATTCCATCTTTTCAATCTATTTTCAGACTCTTTTTTTTCCATTTCCCATCAATCCAAACATTAATTTTTTCTCATTGTTTTCTTTCCATCATTTTCTTTCTCCTCATTTTCTCATCTTCATCCAAACAAAGGGTAGTAGTGTGTATTCTTACCCATAGAGTGTATTATTTAGTTATAATTTTTTCACAAAATGTAAGTGTAAATTGATTATTCTATAAAATATAAATTGGGTTATAAAGAGTAATAAAGTGATTTCATTGACTAAGGTTAAGTAAAGTCGTTTCAAAGAAATAAAAATTAAAGATATTACCCGTAACAAAATACTTCGTAAGAAAACTAAATATACGAGGTATGATCAATTTTATTTTTAATTTAGTTTAATGAAATTTGCTTTAAATATTACTAAAACATATGACATTTCTCAATGTAGTACTTAGATTTTTTTGTTCTCGAAATAATACTTAAATAATGTCTAGTGGTGAGAATAATGTCTAGTGAAGGTGGACATTTTGTTTGAACAATGTCCAATGGCGCTGGACATTTACTTTAACAATGATCAATGGATAATGACTAGTGGTATTACATTGGAAAATAAAAACATATGGTACTTCATTGGGAAAGTCACCATGTCTTAGTATCATTTAGGTAAATTATCCTTCAATTTATTTGATTTTATGTGTAAAATAAAAAAATAAAATTTTTATATTTAAAAACTACACCAAAAGTTCTATAAAACAAGAGGTGACAAAACCATATTATTTTATCAAATAACTAACAGAAATGGATAAAGAAAGTGATCAAAGTTTGATCTTGTGAATAGTAACTAGGAATAAGGTTTTAGGACAGAGGAGGTATATAACAAGAGATTTTCCTTATTTAGTGCTCTATTATCAAATATTACTCATGTGATTCTTCTTTTATGAGTGTCTTTTCATAAATACTCCCTCCGTCCCGGAGTATTCGTCCAATTTTGACTTTTGGAACTGTTCATCTAAGCACTTTGACTCATCAAATTCTCTCAATGTGCAAGCCTAAATATAGTCATGTGTGATCTTGTTTGATTTGTCTTAACATATAGATTATTAATATATAATTTCTATAATTTTTTAATATACAAATTATAAGATAAAATGGATTAAAGAAGTGTATTAGATAGCGTATAAAAATGAAAGTGGACAAATATTCTGGGACGGAGGTAGTAGTTTTTTATCTTCTGTCATATTGGTGTAAATTTAAGGCGAAAAATGTAATTTTACAATGATCATATATCTTTCTTGACATACACAATTCCAGAGGCCACTCATAACGTTTCGTTTGTAAATTGCAGTGGCTTTCTACAGATGTAATTTTTCGTCAGAATCGTAGTTCACAATTATAGTCATTATAGTTGTGTTGATCGTTTGGCCGCTATCAGAATACGTTACTGGGAATAATGCTGATATCGAATTAAATTTTTAGCTCTAAAATTAATATCAATATGATAGAAGGATTAGAAGACAAGAATAACACAATTCATGGAAATATTTGATGACAGAGAACTAATAAAAAATCTCTTATTCTTGATTAATTTAACCTTTGATATTATCAGTTCGAACTTAGAAAGAATCACTTCGAAAGGAGGAAAACCAAAGATAGAAATTTGTCGGTTTTGTCCGATCTCTCATTTCTGAATCTGCATTTCTTCATGAGGCAATTCCCATATTGAGAGCCTATAAAACCGGAAATCCCCCCAAAGCCCACAGCATTATCAGCGATCTAAGATCTGTTCATCGCTCTTTCCCTTTGAAGATCTTTGACTCTCATTCTCCCAACCAAGAACATTTTTTCTTTCTCGTCCCCGAGTCCACCCCAGATCTGGTTTGCGGTAAAGATTCAATCTTTTTCCCCATTTCTCACTCTGGGTTCACACATTAATCTGAAATCTCTCTTCCCCATCTTGCAGGAATAGGAGCCCAAACAATGGCGTCGCCGATCAAGAATCCGTCGGATTCAGCCTCTGTGAATGACAACAATGGCGATTCAGGGGATGCCCAGATTCCATTCAAGATCTTCATAGGGTATGACCCACGGGAGGACACTGCCTTTGAGGTCTGCAGGCATTCCCTCCTTAAGAGATCTTCAATCCCCATTGAAATCCACCCCATCAAGCAATCTGATCTGAGGCAGAAGGGCCTCTACTGGCGCGAGAGAGGGAAATTGGAGAGCACTGAGTTCTCGTTCACACGTTTCTTGACCCCACACCTTGCAGGGTACCAAGGGTGGGCCATGTTTGTTGATTGTGATTTCCTCTATTTGGGTGACATTAAAGAATTGAGGGATTTGTGTGATGATGAGAATCTTGCTGTGATGTGTGTCCAACATGATTATGCCCCAAAGGAGACAACCAAAATGGATGGGGCTGTCCAGACAGTGTACCCTAGGAAGAACTGGTCATCCATGGTTCTTTACAACTGTGGGCACCCTAAGAATAAGGTCCTAACACCAGAGGTTGTGAATTCTGAGTCTGGGGCATTTCTCCACAGGTTCATGTGGCTTGAGGATCATGAGATTGGGAGTGTCCCATTTGTGTGGAACTTCCTTGTAGGACACAATAGGGTTGTTGAGGATAACCCAGAGACCTTCCCAAAGGCCATTCACTACACACTTGGAGGGCCTTGGTTTGAAGCTTGGAAGGATTGTGAGTTTGGGGATTTGTGGCTCAAGGAGTTGGATGACTACAAGAAGTCAAAAGCGACGCAAAAGGCCTCGAATTGACCTCAAATCACCGGGGCCCGCTGCGTGATTTTGAGGCCAAATTTGTATGCTTGTTATGCATTTTGGCCTCAAAATCGAGTCTTGGATTTTCGGGTCGCTTTTGTTTGTTGTGCAAGTTTGTTGTAACATTTGTTGTTTCTTTATAGGTATATGGAGCACACAACTTTCTGATTTTTTTACCATAATGGTGCATTGTTCTTCTTACAGGGTTCAATCCCATTTTTAAAGAGCTTGTTAAGGACATAGAGATGTAATGTAGTTTGGTCATGTGTTTTTTTTGTATGTAATAAGTCCTAATAACTACTAATATAGTTTGAAGATATTGTTGTTATTTGGAATTGACATTTCCCCTGTTGTAGATAAATTTTAGCTCTTTTTTTATTTGTCCCAATTTGTTTTATGTGGCATAAAAATATCTCTTCTTAACATATTCTACCAATCCTTCTTTCCAATATAGATGGAAAAAAGCTTTTCATATAGATTGGATTCCACTGTTCTAGACAGAAAACAGTGTCAAATGTGTTGGTGAGAAAAAATTATGGGAATTGCAGGTTTAGAGCAATGTACTAGGAAGTGTTTTTTTTTACAATGTTGTCTTGTTATGGTCAACAACCTGGAGTAATTGAATATGAGTGGGTGTATATTTCTTACACAAATCTCCCAAAATGTAATGTAGTTGACCATTATAATTTTTTGTGAGACACTCCACCAAAAAAATGAATGAATGTAAATATGATGTATGTCAATATCCATCCAACTTCTGATATATCTAAAAATTTATAATGGTCATTAACATATTTTCCATGTATCATAAAAATACTCTACCTATGATTTGACACAAAGTTAATAAATGTGAAATTGAATTGTTGAAATAAAGGGCCACATTTTTTTCCGAAAAGTTGAAAAAAATTTGCACGAACAAAAAAAAGGTTACATTTTATGGGATATAAGGAGTACTAATCAAGAGAGTAAATGCTAACATGAAAGATTCCATCCCAATTCCCATATGTCTTTGCCATATGAATTGAGAGGAAGAGAGTATACAATTTATATGAACCACCCCCCAAATTCAACAAAACATCGTATCAGAAATGTACCCATGTAAGAACCATGCCCTTTATTATACTCTCTCAATATGTAATACAATTTTTTAATTCGCTTGGTGAGTTTTGGAGAACTCATATATAACGCGGTTAAAATTTGAAAAAAATATGACACGTGTTCTAAACCTAGAAATGTAGGTATTTGAAGAGATTTAGGATAATGACTTTTAGCAATAGCTCAGAGTGACTCGCAATGTGAAATTAACGGTGATTGGTTAGCGACGATGTTGGTAGCACATGGCGAGGTCGACAGTTAAAAACTTTCTCTTACAAGAGAATTTTGATATCTGGAAATATCAAATTCAAAATTTGTTTGGACTTCATCAAACATAAAAAAAGGTTTTGATATGTAGAGATATCAAAAGAGCTTATTTTCTTTGTCTGATCTAATTAGATCTGATATGATTTTTTAAAGGTTATCAGACTGTAGTTACTTCATATCTTTAAAACTGTTTCTGATCTATTTACGATAAGAATAAATAATACGGAGAAAGATTCCTCAAAAGGCCCAACTCATTTTTCTCTTAAGAGAATGAACTAATAGGCCCAAAATCGAAAAGAGCCCAAAATACCCTCATCTTCTTCTGAGATTCCTCACCTCAATCGTGTGGTCTGCAAAACTCCATCAATCCAAAGCTTCAAACCCATCCATACAAATAAATCTTCTTCCATTTCATCCTTCTCCGTGATCTCTTCTTCCTTTTCTCACCTTAATCATGTCCGCCGCCGCCACCGCCTGTGTTCTTTGGGGAAACGCCTGCAATCTTGTCTCGTCGGAAACCGCCGCCCCCGGAGGCGGGAGGCGGTCGTTCTCCCCCAATCGTCAAGCAGAGAGAAGGTTCTCAATCAACGGGGTCAATGATAGAAGAAGACGGAGAAGATGGTCAGAGATCAGATCTGGTTCTTCCAATTCAGATCGCGATTCTGAGGAATCCGGATCGGAGAAGACGAATGCCGTCGGGACGTTACCGGGCCTGAATCGCAGATGGACCGGGTACGTTGAGAAGGACACCGCCGGGCAGAAGAACATATACTCCGTCGAGCCGGATGTCTACGTGGCGGAGAGCGCAATCAGTTCCGGATCCGCCGGCGACTCTGAGGAGGGAGTCGAGAACACGATGGCCATCGTCGCCGGAATCGCTCTCATCTCGATCGCGGCCGCGTCGTCCATTCTACTCCACGTCGGAAAGAACAAACCTCCGGTTGTGGAATATTCCGGCCCCTCGCTTAGCTACTACATAAATAAGCTCAAATCAGACGAAAACGTTCGGCCTGCGCCGGCGCCGGCAGGGGAGAGTGCTGAACCGGCTTTGCCAAGGGAAGAAAGCTTCTCTCCGGCGCCGGAAGTGTCTCCGGTGGAGATTCCAGCGGATCAGCTGCCGGAGAGTAGTCCCACATCAAGTTGAAATTTGAAAATTCAATGGATATACTCAGGAGCGAATTAACATTGTTTGTGTATTTCAGTGATAACATTTGTGTGTCACAAACAAAACTACTTGGATTTATATTTGTGATCCTTCTAAAAAAAATTACTCCGTTTATTAGTAAAAAAATCGTTCATCTCATTAGGATAACAAAACTTTGGTATAGTGAAGTCATATTTTCTCCACTTAATTTTATAGGTATAGAATAAATTTAAGTTTGATTTGATTTGAATATAATTATATTTAAAGTTATTTTTAATTTGATCTGATTCTAATAAGAATAAATAATAAATAAAAAAATAAATGGAGATGAATATGTCCTAGTCCAGCTAGTATATAGGATTAATCTAGAAATTACATATTTGAATCTAAAAGAATAATTTGTCAAAATAATAGAACTTTCAATCATAATGGAGGGAGTATATGATGGTGCAGAACTTAAAAGTAAAATTTATATACTTCCTCTGTTCCAAAATGTAAGCAATATTTTGAAAGACGTGCAAAATAACATTTCTTCTAAAATTATTTCATTTACAAATTGATAGAGAAATAAAAAGTAAAAATTGCACCATTCAAAAATAGATCAAAAGTTTTACAAAACAAGATACGACAAAAATATTTTATTTTATCAAATCGTCAACCAAAATAAGTAAACAAACAAAAGTTATCGAAATGGTTAAATAGTAACTGTTACTTGCATTTTGTGACAGATAGAGTACTTAAAGATTGCTCTACAAAATAAGAGGTGAACTAGTATTTTATTTTAACAAATAATCAATGAAAAATATGTAAGAAAATACAGTAGAAAATATGTAAGCTAGCTTCGTACACAATGTGAGATGCACTCCAACCCTCCATAGAGTTTCTGCAATTGATGAAAGAATATATACTATTACTGGTACCTTAACAAATGGCAACAGGGTTCCTGTCCTCGTCGACTTCAACGAGAAGCGTGTGGCCACCCTCGGGATCCGCCCCGCTGGGTCCCGCCGAGTAGAGTGTCGGAAGGTATGCATTGTAAGCCGGCATGTAACGCGACACAAATTCTTTCACCTGATCAACCGTCGCAAAAACAAAAACAAAAACAAAAACAAAAACAAAATGAATTGTCTTAGACTAGATACTCTATGTTAATCAAAGGCATCATCATCATCATTGTCATGAGATTTTTAAAATGACCTCCACATCGGACATCCCGGGCTTTCCATCGGCCCTCATCGCCATTTCGGCCTGCAAAATGACATGGCTAGTAAATAAATTAAACAATTAACACGGATGGGATCATCATCAACCGGACTGAGTTTTAGGAATACCGGTGCTGGTTTCCTCCCCAAAAGTAAAAGGGAGAAGTACCTAAATAGGAGTAAAAAAGGATGAATATACCAAAATAGGAGTTCATATTGTCAATCCCGCATAGCCACCGGAGTGCCACTGCCTTGCTCGAGCTCCACCACCGGTCACCAGTGTTGATCACTGTTGACAGGTGGTCCACTACCACGCTCCACCATCACACTACCATTATTTACACTGCTATATTATCATCACACCGTCATCATTCACACTGCCAAACTCCTATTTACGTAAGAAAAACAATGCACTCCTATTTGGGCATTTTGATGGCAATTTACTCCTTTCTAGGGACATTTTTTCAAAATAAAACTAGAGGGTCATTTCTCAACCTACAAAAAGGTGTTCCTATATCATACATTCCAATGCATGGTGCTTATTGTGCATGTGACGTTTACCATTGAACGACCGTGCACTCCACATCTCAGAACTCGTTAACAACGTCTATTCAAACTATCGCTTGGTCTAAGTAAATCCAATTACAATGACACTAAAATCCCCAGCATAGTCCGGATAAACCAACCTGAAGTCGCCAATTATAAACACATCGGGGGTCTTGAATCTTGATGACTACCCATGATTTTACAAACTTGTCCCATGCATCACAGTATGCTTCTAAGTTCTTGTTAACAATCTCCAACTGTGATATACAAGTATAATAGTATGTGAGCCGGCTCAGCTTGTTATCACCCCTAGAGCATAGGGAACAAGAAGTAACCTGTGGATCGATAGCTTTGACAATTTCAGACGGAAGGGGTTTGAAACCAAGCATCCAACCTTCAAATAGAACAACCTTCAAATCCAAATCAATGAAGATGAAAATCTGCTTAACTTGACCTAGCTTGAAATAAATAATAATAATTTTTTTTCTTTAAAAAAGAAGCACCGTAAGAGGCCCCTCAATCTCTGGCCATGTAGAAGGGTCTGCTCTATCTCCTCTACCATTATAAGCAGACTGGAAGTAAGATGACAGAATTAGTGAATGAAAGACATAGCACCTGTTTGGAAAGTGTTTGCAGAATCTTAATTTTTTTTAAAAAAAAGGTAAAGCATGCCAAATGGATCTTATGAAAAATGGGAACTCTCTATGCATATTTTGATATGAAACTCTATTACAGAGTATTATAATTTCCGGCCAAAACTAGCAACCAAGCGAATCCATAAATCCACGATGCTAAAGGCCTGTTTGGTGAGCACAAGTACTCCCCAAACGGATGTAAGTACTTTTTATCTGTATTAATCATATTCGAGCCGCCTTCTTAAAAATTGGAGTCATGCTTCTAATACTAAATACTCCCCCCGTTCTAAACCTTTATTCACTTTCTTTGTCTATTTTCATCAGTCATTTGATAAAATACTACAATGATGGCACTTCTTGTGTTTGTATATTTTTATGTAGTATATAAATATATAAATTTTATTTTTAAAATTTACACATAACCAAATCAACT